TGACAAAAAAAACTGACACGATCAAATAGCTATCAATATCCAATTAATGTGATTTTTTACAAGCATATAGTACTCGACGAGTTCTACACATTGAACGGTTCTGATTAGAAAAACGGGACCCGTGGTGGGCCCCCACTGGCCGAACAATACCGTCCAATCAAAACTCGAAAAGAAGGCAATCTTTTCCCATGTTTTCACCCAGCCGCCTGCACCGCCAATCCGTACGGTGTACTACACTATCTTCCCCTGCACACTTCTTTATACAATTTTTTAATACACATTTTTTCATAAAAAAGTCAAAAAGTTAACCCAAACATCCATATTTTTTCCCTCAACTTTTTAGTCCAAAAAGATAAAAAGTGTATTTATTTAGGACACCCTAAACAACCCTGACTATTACAATTAAAAATGAAAAAGACCAAAGTGAAATTTTTATGAAACTGCAGGGGTACTAAGGTCATATTTGTGTTCATATAGACTGGATAAGAGGATATTGTAATCCATCAGACTGTTAATCTTGTGATACATTGTCCCTGAACTATTTGATTGGAAAGATTGTGTATCATATGTTTGTTTAGTTATGGAATTAAATGTTTGAATTAGACTATTCTATTAAATCTTATGTTTATTTGGGATATTATGGAGAAAGATAAATACTTAAAAGACTATTTTACCATTTTGAATTGTTTACTAAATAATAGAAATATTAAATCTGGGTTATAACCATTTTAGGAAAATTTATTGGAAAGTCTTATTTTATGAACTTTTGTATCATTTGGTCCAACGTTGTAAATGGTTGATTGAGGAGTCCTTATTAGGTATAGTGTGTGACCAGTAAGTCTTTTTTCAAATGTGGATGGGTATTGGTTAGACAAATATACCTTCACTAGTTAATTGGGGAAGTTTTTTATTTTTTATTTTTGGAATGTGTGACAAGTATGGTGTGATACTCCAATACTACTGGTATTAATGTGACACTCTAACGATGAAACACTCCAAAAAAATTAAAACTCCTCAGTGCACTTTTTTCAAATGTGACAACGTAGCAGGCATGATGTGACACTTCAAAAAAAATAAAAACTCCTTAGTATACTTTCTTCAAATGTGACAACGTGGCGGGTATGTTGTGACACTCTGAAAAAAATTAAAAACTCCTTAGTGTACTTTTCCTAAACGTGACATGTGACACTCCAACATGGCGGACCCAATTTGATTGAATTACTACGTGTCTTCACGTTACACGCCAAAAAATAATTAATAAGGAATTCACGTCCCACACTGCGTGTGTTAAAAAAAAACAAACTTTAAAAAGCTACTAGTGCGCTTTTCGAACAACGTGGCATACAAACACTCTATCACCTTCCCCATACATTACCACACAATCTGTCCGACAACTGTACTAACAATGGCAAAACAGTCAACAAATAATTTAAGGAACCACTCAATCACCCAAAAAACATTTAAGACCTTATAGATTACAAGTTTATAAAACAAGATTTATTGGTCAATTCCCCTAAATTTCATATAATTTTTTTAATTTAATTTTTTTACTAGAATTTTTTTTAAAAATTAAATAAATAGAATATCGATAAAAATTTCATAAATTTATTTTAATTTTTAGTTGAGATTTTTAAATTTTATTTTACGTTACTAAGTATAATTAATACCATGAATAAATCAAATATGAAATTTTTTTAGTTTCAAAGCAGAAGTAAATATATATATACACACGAATGAATAGTATAAAAAAACATATAGAGCACCAAACGAAATCCATACAGAGCACTAAACGAAGAGCACTGAGCATAGCAAGCAACAACATACAACAAAGCACTAAACAAAGATGGCCACAGAACATTGATGTAAATATAAAATAAAAACAGCGAATGACAAATAAAAATTGAAAAAAATAAAATAAAATTTCAAAACAAGCAAAAATAGTAGAAATGTAATTTTACTATCTAATCTCATGTGATGAGTTATTCCAAGTTTTGCGTCTCACACCACTTGAGATACAACAATCCAATATATTTGGAATTAATAGTCCGGATAAATTAGTAGTCTAGTGCAAAATTTTTGCGCAAAATAATGGACTATTTCATCCATCGGACATGGATTCCTATCCCATGTCCCTATCCCTCCAAACAATTTATCTATTCAATATTTCAATGTAAAAGATATGATAACATTATTTTTTAATGCATATGACTAATAACGGTGGTAATACGTGTACCAAATAATGTACATACTAGTATACCAACTAGTGTTATGTCATTATTACAGATCTTACATGTTGTAAAAATTACAAATATCCAAAACTTCTAAACTTATGTTACATCATCTGTTAGTATATTAATTAGTACATTAATTGATACATATAACATTATTTAACTAATAAAGTTTAAATGTATTATATGAATTATTTAAATTTGTAAAATTTATTATATTTTTTTTCAAATCACAATAAAGATTAATGTACTTTACCTTTCAATAAATGATTGTTTGAGAAATGGCAATTGCCAATCAATAAAGGCCAAGCGTTAAAGATGATCAAGATTATGCTTGGCCATGTGAACACATACACATCTACGCATAGTTCGAGTACGCGTTTGTGAAACAAAATTGAAAAAAAAAAAAAAAAAAAAAATTGCATTAAATAAGATTGACATCTAGCGGTTCAAAGAGGAGGAGCCCACGTTTGTGATTTATGTGGGAATTCCCCTTTCCAGTTTCCCTTTGGCATCAAGTCCGTGTCACATTCTAAGGAAGTCAAATGGTAATCCAGCCCCACATTTTTATCTCAAAGTCAAAACCAAATGAAAGAAAGAAAAAAAAAAAAAAAAAAAAAAAAAAAAAAAAGGCAAATTAGACAAATAGTCCCTATAGTTTAGGCCTTGTATCACTTTAGTCCCTGACTTTTTAATTGTGACACATTTGATCATGAACTTTGAATCTTGTTCTAAATAAGAACAATTGAAAATATCATTAGATTTTTCAAGGGTAAAATTGTTAATTTGATAAAATATAAACTAATTTGACAAAAATAAATGTCAAAACAAATATTTTTCAATTTTTAAAAATTATTTCTACCTACTAAAAATAAAATTATGTAAAATTGATAAATCTTTTAGACATTTATTTATTTTTTTACTAAATTAATTTTTATTATGTGTTTGAATGATGATCATGCAAAATTAATCATGTAATTTTTATTAATTTTACGTAATTTTATCATTAGTGGATAAAAATAATTTTTAAAAAATTAAAAATATTTTTTTGATATTTATTTTTGTCAAATTAGTTTATATTTTATCAAATTGACAATTTTACCCTTAAAAAATCTAATGATATTTTCAATTGTCCTTATTTAGAACAAGATTCAAAATTTAGGGTCAAATGTGTCACAATTTAAAAGTCAGGAACCAAAGTGACACAAGTCTCAAACTATAAGGACTATTAGTATAATTAACCCAAAAAAAAAAAAAAATACAAGATCCCCCTCTCTTATCATTCTACCTTAATTTTTCCAGTCCCTGTTCTGTTGAGAGAGAGAGAGAGAGAATTCATGAATCAACCTCCAGAGAATCATGTTGCGGAGGTTCTAATCCAGAGGGAGATTGAAAAACTGGATGAAATGAACAAGAAACAAGAACAAAGAATCCGAAACCTTGAAACAAAGTCCATCCAAGTCATCAACTTGTATTTTGTGTTCCAAGGTGTCATCCTCCTTGTCCTCTCATCCTCATCATCAACTTCCTCCGCCTCAGTTGCCACCTCATCTCTCAAATGTCACAACTGGTGGATTCCCTTCTCTCTCTCCCTCCTGGCAACTACCCTGAACCTGTTTGCCGTGTTCGATAACATGTCTAAAATTCTCAAGTCCAGAGAAGAACTCGATCAAGCCGTGGCAGACCTTTCCATCATGAGATTGTATGGGATGAATAGGGATCAAGTCAGTCAAGTTTTGCCAGGAACTCCATTGAATCAACCTCGGGTTGGAGCTTCTTTACGTAGGCAAGTAAGCGAGGTTGTTAGACCTAAAACGGACTCGGTCAGAAGGTGGAAGCGGCGTCTAAGGGCCTGTTTGTTTATTGGGTTATTTGTTGGCTTCAGTGGTGTTGTAATGTATGGTTGCTATACCATTCCCTGCCATTGATAAACGTGTGAATCAATGCTTGCAAGTATTGTCTCACGGTGGTTTTGTGTACTGTCAATGTTTTCTGAACTTACTTTTTATGCTGTGTTTAGTTGGAGAATTTAAGGAGAGATTTAGAAAGAGAAAGAGAAAAAATGTATGAAACTAAGTAAAATTTAAATATGTTTTTTTCACATTTTACCTACCTTTTCTATTTCTTTTTCCAAATCCCTCCTCAAATCCCCAACCAAACACAGCATTAGAAAACATTACTTGCTGTCTAAAACTGTTCTGTTACATGTCTTTGTGTTGTGCTTCTTGACAAAATTTGGTACCGAGGCCTATTAATCCATCACCTATTTTGTAGATAAATTGTTTTAAATCATTAAAACAGTGTAACGCAATCAAATTGGAAGCTGCAATTAAGCTCTACTTGCATAGAATTAAACTCAACTCTCTCCATTCTCAAGCTGCTTCAATCAACAGTTAATGATTATGATTTTTGACCACCCATTTAGCCTAGTTTATTAGGCCTAGATTCATACAAGTTCGATTTAATTTATTCACTCACTTAGCAGATGAATGAACAATCCCCTTATGATTTACCTTCTTTTTACCGAGTCCCTTACTTCGAAAAATAACCAATAAAAATTTTCTTGCCTCGGGCACGGGGGACAAGAGGGTCAATATAGAAAATGGGTCAGATAACATTCAGGTACATCAGGTTCACAGTGAATGATGTGCATCTAATTTTCTAACTAATAATTTACAGTGCCCATATAACATTCTCATCTTTTTTAACATCACAAGCAACATTTTTGGCAAAAACAGATTTCAATTGGCAATTTTTTGAAACATGACAAGATGCTATAACTGCAATAACTATAACAAAGCTCTTTTCTCAAAAAAACCTATAACAAAGCTTGACTATGGTGGTACGGGAGGATCATACATGAAATGTATTGGTTACAATTGGCAAGAAATGACATTGAAAATTGTATATGATAATTACTTTCGGGTTTTCCAGTTGCATAACATATTGGCTAAGAAAGAGAGATGGCTAGATATACTTGTTCAGCAAAGAGATGCCAATCTAGCTCATTTCTCCATGTAAAGCTAGGTGTAGACAAACAAAAAACCAGTACACAAAGCAAGAACTCTCTTGATTCCAGGTTCAAATGAGGTTAGATTGCGATCTCAGCTGCAAAATGATGTGGTTAAACCAACAAATGAACTCGGGAAGATGGAATAAGATATGAATAATGTTTGGATCAATCTCATCTGCGAAGTCTGTTTGTGACCAACTCTGGATTGCCTTTTCTCATCATGGCAACAAACTCATCATAGTTAATTCTTCCATCCTGCAAAAGAATTGTGGGATACATCATTCATGAAGTGCCAAATGCAACTTGAGTTTTGGACACCTTTAGATACAAAATCGGAAAACAGTGCATTGGAGTTGGAGGATGTCAAGAAACATGGAAATGAAGCTACCCTTTGTTTTTCCAACTTGAAAAAATAAAAACAGTTGATAAGCATATTACATTATTCCTAATAAAGGAGAGAGAAACATACATGGTCTGTGTCAACTTCTGTAATAATATCCTTAATCGTCTTCTCATCACCCATATTATACTTCTTCAGGGCGTGCTCCAATTCTTCCGTTGTGATGTACCTAAATCAAGAGGCAAGAACAAGAAGGTACAAAATACGAGAGAATCACTCCGATGAGTATGTTTACATCAAAATAAGGAATGAAACGTAATGATGGCATAACATAATATACAGTAAGTGAACAACAGATTATGCAGGGGAGATTACCCGCTTTTGTCCTTGTCAAAATATTCAAAGGCAGTGTACAAGTGGTCTTCTCTTTCCATTCTATTCATGTGCATCGTAGCTGTTATAAACTCAATGTAATCAATTGTTCCATTTCCATCCACGTCAGCCTGGAACAAACTAAGTAGTTTAGTTAAACTTTGGAATAGCTCATGAAAAATGAGAATTTCTGCACATGAAATCTAATTTATCTAGAAGCAACTGTGAAGGATAAATCAGCTAAAATTAATATAATATCCAGTGCAATCAGCCCTTCATGATTTATTTTACCTATTTATTTATTTTTGCCTAAAAAAGATCAAGAGTCAAGGGAAGCAAGAAACAAAGAAAAGAGATGGTACGACAAGGACACAGAAACAAAGGACAACAAAAAATAAAACAGAAAAGAAAAAGAAGCAACCAGATCATTTTGAAGATCAGACTCCACCAACCAAGCACATGCTTCAATGATGGATGAAGTGAAGAGAAAGGACCCAATGGGGGTGTTTGTTTCAGCTTTTCAGAGCCAACTTATGGCTTTTAGCTTTGAAAAAGTTATTTTGGAGTGTTTGGTTAAACTTATTTCAAACAGCTTCTGATTCTAACAGCTTATTTTAACTCAAAAAAGCTGATTCTGAGAAGCTGCTCACCCCTTACTTCTGATTATCAGCTTCTGCTGTGGACATGTTAATTTATGGTTATACTCTTAAATTTTTTTATTTTTTATTTTTTAAAAAATAGAAAAAGACTCAAATGGATTATAGATTATTATTTTTATTTTTTATATGAAATGTAGACAAACAAAAAATAAAAATTAATTGAAAAAGCTATTTCACAGCTTATTTAACAAACACTACTCAGCAATTTAAATCTATAATTCAACAGCTACATCAAACAGATTAACAACTTCTGATTAAAGTCATAATCTATAATCTGTTAAGCTATAATCTATAAGCTGTTTTAACAGCTACACCAAACGGGGCCAATGACTAACTAATTGTCAAACGCTAACCAATCAAGAAGAGGTGGCACCATTTGAAGAAAGATGACAGAATGTTAATTGAGATGGTTTAATCATGTAGTGGCACACCATTGGAGAAGAAATTTGGGTTAAGTTAAAGGTGTTAGAAGAAGAAGCCAGACCAAAGGAAGGTCAACTGAGGCTGTAAGCAAAAGACACAATGACATGCAAGGTATCAAGATCTAGACCTAGAGAGTTAAACGGCTATGAAGAACTCAGAAAGCAGACCCTAAAAGTGGTTGAGATGACTGGTGGAGTACACTGTTTCTTTTTTTACACAAACCAAAACTTGTAATATTACTGCTTTCATATAATTCATGTGTATAAACTCGCAGTGTATACATCTAAATCAGCAGGTTCTAGAGCCTTGAGTGCCTTTAGCCATGTCCCATCCGATTGGGTGCTCCAAATACTGAATATTATACACTTTAACCTAAATATTTATGACAAGGCTTAAAATTTATGAACCCATCATGATATCCCATATATGATATAGGAAATGGGGTAAATATCCAAATGCACCATGACGTCCATGGATTTGAAAGATAAGAAGAAAAATTGGAAATACCGATTCCATCAACTGCATCACTTCTGACTCTGATAGCTTGGTACCCAGTTTTGGAAGACCAGCTTTCAGTTCTTCAAAAGTAATTGTTCCACTGTTATCCGTGTCCATGGATTTGAACATTTCCTTCAAGCCAACAATTTCTTCTTCAGAAAGATTTTCTGCAATTACCTGAAGCACAAGGCAGAAACCCTAACTAGAATCCATAATAAACCAAGCATAAAATGAAATAAATATTTCAAAAATATCAGAAAGAACAACAATGAGAACAATAAGAAACTCTCAGTCCCACCTTCAGAGCTACTTTTTTGAGTTTGTTCATTGCACGGAATTGCTTCATTCTAGTTAAGACAGCAATATCAAGAGGCTTATCAGATGCTTCCCCATCTTCTCTCATCCATGGATGATCTGCATGTCATTCAATTGGTTGAGGTTCATTCTCTAATCCACAGAACGTTAGAAAGTTGCAACACATCCAACTAGATTGCACATGGAATATCAAGCAATGTATTTCTTGACAGTCTGGTATACAAAATGAAAATGTCAAGGAACACAGGTGCCTCAAAAGAATGTATATACGCATACTTCTGGTGGTTGAGAAAAGAAAATATACATACTTCCCCTCACCCCTTAGTTGCTGACCAAAATGGACCGAATAATATATTCATAATTAGTAAGCACCCAATTTCTAAAACTTCTCATGAATTGTTTTTAGGGTGCAGCAAATATTTGCATTGAATTTTCTTCACCAAGCCAATGAAACAATATATTTTTCAACTTATGAAAGAAAAATATTATACATCCAATGGCTAGGTAACTTGGGTCAATTAATACGTTGAAAACTTCTTATATATTTCTTCAATTGATTTATTTTATTTTATTTATTTACTTATTTTTTAACCTTCAAATTGCATAAGATTATGAAAAATAAATGGATTATCACAACTTTAGAGTTGTACAATTTATATTTTATACTAAACTTGGAAAGACTAAAACAAGTATTCATAAATCAAATAGCATATAAAAGAGAAAATAATATCCTAGTACAACGCGGAGGTGACTTGTGAATTCAACAGAAGCAAACGGATAAGAACAAGGATATCAAATTCCATGGTTTGTTTGCAATCTTTCCGTCATATCTCTCATTCTAAGTTTGTATTGACATATAATTCAAGAATGGGAGGGTTCTTGTTTTGGGTAAAGATGTGGCAAAATGATTATTTTTGGTCCTACATAAACGACAGGTTGACATACACGGCAAGTTCTTTGACATGTACTGACCTTCTCAACAAATCATCGCGTTCAGTTCTCTATCTTCTTTTGACAGAACAAATTTTTACCTTTTTGACCTTGCCCATCCCATAGATGCCATGCCAGCACATTTACCACTGCTACAATGGATTTTGTGGTCACAAGAACCAATGTTCTAATGCTTTGCCCATGATATTTTCATTGATGTAAACCAGCAAAATAGAAAAGGGCCAAGCAATTTTAATATGGGGAGTGTGTGACTTGCAGATCCAAACTAATTAAGTGTATCTCTGAGGCCTGACTTGTCAACAAAGAGTCCAATTGTATCTCTAAGGCCTGAATTGTCAACAAAGAGACCAATTTTTGCACTCTCTATTTTAATTCCATAGACACCTAGAGGCTAGTTTATTCTTGCCCTCTCAACAAATTTTCCAGAGTTTAAACTTACTTAATACTTCAGTTGCGGAAAGCCTTTCTTTTGGATCAGCCCGAAGCATCTTCTTAACAAGGTCTTTGGCACTATTGGATATGGACGGCCAAGGATCAGACAAAAAATCAATGTGTCCACGTAGAACAGCATCAAAAACACCTTTCTCATTATCTGCATGGGAAAGTAAAGTGAAAAAGTGAGAATATCACAATTGTTATGCCTCATATATGATCACTCGTTAAAAACAAAGTCCATACCTCCCCAAAAAGGTGGGACTCCACTAAGTAATACGTATAATATCACCCCAGCACTCCAAATATCAGCTTCAGCTCCATAATCTCGACGCAACACTTCAGGAGCTACATAATATGAACTGCCAACAAGGTCTCTAAATACATCTCCTGCACCCAAAAGGAAACCGTATGATTTTAAAACATTATCATTGAGCCTCAAAATTAGGTGAAATGAATGGTTGATGAATGCAGAGGTGACAGTTTGGGAGAGGTCATAGAATAATTTCATGGGGAAATTCAAACATTAAATTGCAAACAGAATACCAAGAATACCAGGTTGAATCAGTCTTCAAGCTGCATTTGAATCACCATTGCAACTTGTTTTAATATTCCTCCAAACGATGACAAATGAATAACTTGGTAATATTAGAGGGAGAAAACTTTTGATTTGATATATGTCCAATTCACATGTCCAGTAGCTTTGAAGACCTTCCCCTTTTATTTGACCATGATAAGCTTTTACTCTATTAAGAAGGGCTCCTGTCTGACCAATTCATGATTGGTAGTCTATTTTTTCTTTCTTTCTCGATGATGATTGTGGGGGCAGGGAAGGTTGAATCGTTGACCTCCATCAACAGTACCATCTCGTAGTTCAACCCCATCCCATACCCATCCCATTCAATTGAAAAATCATTCGTAACTTCTTTATCACTTGACACTATCTGTTCTATCCTCCATTATACCAACACATTTCCCAATTCCGACCCACACTTCCCCAAATTCACGATTGTGGCGGTCTTGATTGTTAATGATGTAATTTTAAATGATGGCACTAAATTTCAAGAAGAGATTCACTATGATCTAAAAGCTTCACATTAAGCAAACTAAAACCAAATATGCACAGAGCAAATTTAATAAAATTAGAAATAAAATTGAATGAAGAGTGGGAAAATTTTCTTCACCAAGCCAAAATAATGAAGGAAAGATTGAGGAGGAAGTTACCCGTAGGCAAAAGAATAGTAATTGAAATTCTTGCTGCTTAGTTGAGAGAGCCTTTATTAATTTATTTAAGGTTAAGACCAAGATGACTTTTATTCTAGAAAAGGTGCCATCTTATTTTCATAAACAACCAAATTATCGAAATAGGTAAATGCATTCACGGCAACCATACCCATGTGGTACTCAGTTTGATCTTATCAATTATCAATCATAAATTTTGAAGGAATGGTATCAATGATCAATCACACATTTTATGAGTTCGGTTAGCACCAATACATTATCAGGTTTTACATTATAAACTTACCATTTCAATGTGGCATTGCTCCTCCAAATACGGAAATTTGTTGCGATTTATAGTCAAAACGGAATAAATTTTCTCCCTAATTGGTAGGCAGGATTAAAGTTGAAAGGAAAGGAAGGTAAGGAATGAAAAAATTATCCTAAGATAAGAAAATGGACAGTTATCAAGAGGCATTGTACATAGGAGATATAAGAAGTTTGTCGTAAGAAAAGGAAATAAGTTCCCCCTCATCTGTTTAACACAAACGTATTGTTTGGAGAGAAAAAAAATGTATACTTCCCGACTTTTCCTCATCCTTTCTGTCAAATTTTTGGCAAACATGAAATGGCAACTCTAGAAGGAGACACTTCCCTCTTCTTTACATTCCCTCGTTCCCCTTTCTTTCCTTGTAATGAAAAACTCTCTCCCTCCTCTCCCTTTCCCTTTCCCTTTCCCTTTCCGTCCACTCCTTTGTCCAACCAAACAAAGCATTATCCTTCCAAGTATGATAATATCCTACATAATTTCCATTGCATTTTAAATGTCTTCGTTTTCGTAAATGAAGGAAAAATTCTTAGATTTCTAGTCCTCAATGTAGTTAACATGAATGAAACAAATTAGCAAGAATACAGATCACCATAAAACCATTAAAATGTGGGGGAACCGAAACAACAACAACGTGGACATAACATGAATATATGCAATTCAATTCTGAATAAATATAGAGACATGAAATAAACTACTTAAAATTCTATCAACTACACACATATTCCACCAATTTAGTAGAATTTTAACTAATTTATTTTGCGTCTCTAGCAAAGTTGTTAGATTTTACAATGCCAAGCCTCCAATATTTTCAATTTTGGTTAATTACACTTTTGACCCTTGTAGTTTTATCCAAATTTCACTTTAATTCGAATAATTTGGTTCGTACCCGTAATTTCAATTTGGTTATTCCACCCAAATTGGAAGTTAAAATTAACAACTTTGACACACCTATCAATTTGCTAAGGTGTACACGTCGCTAAAATTAACAGAAATTTAAACGGAATGAGACTTAAAGAGTGTAGAACCAAAACCAAATTGTTTAATTTAAAACTATTTTGGACTAAAATAAAATTTGGATCGAAGTATAAGGTGAAAAGTGTAATTAAACTTTCCAATTTTCATCTTATAAATTCTGCAATGACAAGTCTCCCAAATTTAATCAAAATCCGAAAACATTCATTTTAAAATCCGATGATCAAAGACACAAAAATAAATAAATAAAAATAAAGATAGATCAATAGGAGATCAGAACAAGTATACCTGGTTTGAAGAACACCGAGAGCCCAAAATCGGTGGCTTTCAAAGGCGAATCTTCATCACTACTCAAGAACAAGAAATTCTCAGGCTTCAAATCCCTATGCATCACTCCCATTGAATGACAATTATGCACTACAGTCACGACCTGCCGACAGATCTCCGCAGCAGCGCGCTCAGAGTAATGTCCCTTGGCAAGAATCCGATCAAACAGCTCACCACCAGCACAGAGCTCCATGATCAAATTAACCGAGTGACGATCCTCATACGCACCTTTGAGCTCCACAATGTTGCGGTGACCAGTGAGATGGTACATGATCTGGACCTCGCGACGAACGTCTTCGATGTCGTCCTTGTTGACGAGCTTGCGAGTGGCGATTGACTTGCAAGCGAACTTGTCTCCGGTGGTCTTGTGTGTGACGAGATAGGTCACGCCGAACTGGCCGCGCCCGAGCTCGCGTCCGAAGACGTAGGTGGAGCGGACATCTTCCATCGGGCGGCCGAGGATGCGGCCGGTGCCGGAGATCTGGCGGTGGTGGGTGGTGGTCGTGGGAGGTGGATGGGGCGGATTTTCTGGTGGTGGTTGGGCGGCGGCGGCGTGGTGGCGGAGTCGGATGTTGCAGTTACCCATGTGTGTGTGTGGTGGGACTGAGAGAGGACAGTGTCAGTGGATAGAGAGAGAGAGAGAGATGCGCTTTATGTGATTCTGGTCGGCAGAGGAGGTTTTGGGATAATGACAAATGTTTAACGTGACGTGTCGAGGGATGGGATCTCATCTCACTTAGATGAAGGTTGGGAATTCCAATATAATTCATCTTTTTGTCTTTTTATATTTTTTTTATCACGTTATTTTTTTATTTTTTTGCATATTTTTTTGTAAAAAAATAAAAAATACACTTATTTAGGTCATCCCAAACAATCCCTTAAATTGTGAAATTAATTTTGTATAATAAAATATTATTTATTTAATTAAATCACGTGCATATCCACATTTTATATATTTAGGTCAAGTTTAGCTTTCTAAATAAGTACACATTTTTTATCTTTTTATTTTTTTTTCATCACATCATCTCTCCACTTTTCTGCACATCTTTTCGTAAAAAGACAAAAAGTACACTTAGCCTCCGTTTGGCAAGAAAAAGCCCAGGCTTTTTTGGCTAATGTGGCTATTTTAGCCACAAAAAACAAAACATCAAATCCAACCCATAATCATTACAATCCTCTCTCACAAAAAAAGCCAAAAAGTCAAAAAGCCCTTCCCAAACCAGGCTAAAATAGCCCAGGCTAAAATAGTCAAAAAGCCAAAAAGCCAACCCACTTCCCAAACGGAGGCTCGGTTGAGAGAGGAGAGAAGATGGAGACTGGTTGCGCCGATGGTATCAAGCGGCGGAGTGCGGCCACGGCGGCGTAGAGACGAGAGACAGAGAGCGGCAGAGAAAGATGGGGTCTGAGATGAGAGAGAGAGAGAGATCTGAAATGAGAGATGAGAGGAGTTTTGTTAGATTAAATCTGTGGAAGGGTTTGGAGGGAACGAAATTTGAGAGAGAGAGAAGCGCGGGTGGGTTGCAGACAGAAGAGGGGAAGAGTTATAATGTGGGAAATGGTGAAGTGATGGTGAAGCCCCACCAGTACATGGAAACAAAATAATAATGGGTAAAATCGTCCATCCAGTTACACTAAATATGAAAAATAGGATCAATAAGAAATAAACTTCCCCACTGATAGGACTTATTCGAACAACAGAATAAAGTTGGGACTAATTGGTTTAATAGTTTGTGAAATGGGATTTATTGGTAAATTTTCCTTTTTCTTTTTGTCTTTTTATATTTTTTTTATCACATTATTTTTTTATTTTTTTGAATATTTTTTTATAAAAAGATAAAAAATACACTTATTTAGGTCATCCCAAATAACCCCTTAAATTGTGAAATTAATTTTGTATAATAAAATATTATTTATTTAATTAGATCACGTGCATATCCACATTTTATATATTTAGGTCAAGTTTGGCTATTCTAAATAAGTACACATTTTTTATCTTTTTATTTTTTTTTCATTACATCATCTCTCCACTTTTCTGCACATCTTTTCGTAAAAAGACAAAAAGCACACTTATTTAGGTCATCCCAAACAACCCCTTATTTTGAATAACCATTCATAACTCGAAAATTTCTTCTCCGAATTCGTCGACTATCCAAGATGACATCATTTTGGATAATTTTTTTTTTCTCCTTATGTCTTTTGGAACAGAGAGAGGGGAGAAGAAGAGGAGGAAGAGGAAGAGAAGAGAGGGGAATAGGGAATGGAGAGAAAGAGAGGGTCGATCGCCGCTGCCTCTGCCTCCCATTGTCGCAGCCTCATATATATATATTTTTTAGTGGATCTAGATCTGAAAATGAAGGGAAAAAATAAATAAATAAAACTGTTGGCTGATGATGATGTGTTGATGATGATGATAGTCATGTTGATGAAGATGTTTTTGTTGACGATGAAGATGATTTTTTTTTTTTTTTTCTAGATCTGAAGATGAATAGTTGTTGATGATGATGTTGATGAAAATCTGAAAATGAATGGCTTGTTGGGTGGTGGATAATGATGATTCTCTCTCTCTCTACTACTCTCCTCTTCTCTTCTTTTTCTTTGTTCTTTTTTTTTTTGATTTTGCCAATTATTAAAAAAAAAAAATCAAAACGACGAAACGACGTCATTTTGATTTCGAGCCAAATTCGAGCTCGAAATTTCGAGCTATGTAGCATAACTGATTTATTTTACACGATTAAAACAAAATACTACTCGACTCATTTCATCTTAAAAATATTAATTTCTTATTTTATTTTGGGATATTTATGTGGGGCATATTTTTTGGGAATGACAACACGTGGCCAAGGTGGCACCGAAGTGCCAGCCGAGGTGCCATGTGTCCTGGTCATGACACCGAGGTGATCTTGGCTAGACCAAGGTTATTTGCAGAGATACCGGAATCCGAAATGAACGGATAAGGGTCAAGAGTCCTAGAATGAGAGAGGACCTCAATCTGGATAATGATAAAGCTCTTAGGAAATTTATCTTTATCTGTTGAAGAGTCTGGGATGAGTATTGAGCCAGAGTCCAAGAGAAGCTAAGCTTCTACGGGGATCAGGTTAATGCTGGCTATAAAAATAAGGCACCCTCGTGGGTTTAAGATATGCTTTTGGTATTCTGGCTAAGTGAGTTAAACACTTTTTGCTATCTTTTAGAGATAATTGAGTATTGACTTGATCGTCGGAATGTCCCTGGGTGGATGAACCACCGCCGAAGTCTTATTTTTCTGTAACAGGTCGTTCGGGCGCAGTCTATTCTGCTAGTGTTCTCCAGCTGAGTACCTGTTTGGCAGTGTGGTCAAAAAACAGCACACATATTTACATACAAATCTTAATTTATAAACTTGTACTACATTAAATTTTAATTAAATTTTTTTAGATTTTCAAATCCCATTAAATTTTTAATATTCAGAATTACCCTTCAAACAATTATTGTTCAACATTTATGATTATCTATAAAGGAATATGATGATTTGATATTTATTTTGATTAGCAAATTTTAAAATATCAACTTTTAAATTGAAAAAAATTTAAAAAAATTATGTAATGTTTTTTTTTTTTGAAAAAATTGAATTATTTTTTTGTGCAAAATTAAAAATTTTGTGTCTATAAAGAAGTATGATGATGAAATATTGATATGCAAAATTGAAAAAAAAATAAAAAATAAAAAAATAATAATGTTCTTAGTTTTAAAACAGAAAAAAATGTTAATGTTCTCGATTTTCTTGAATAGTTAAATCAAATTAATAAGTAGAAAGATAAAAAAGTTTAATCTCATATTCTGTTTTTTTTATCATTTATTGAAACAATTATTTGAAATATTACTATGCAAAATTAATAATATTCTTAGTTTTAAAAATTAGAAAAACTGATAATATTTTCACTTTACTAAATATGACTTATTGGTTTAAAAAATCTTAAATAGAACCTGAGCTACTATAACATTTGTAAGTAGGACTTTTAGATAATTAACTATTTTATTTTTTATTGTTTCAAATATTAATTTCTTTTTAAATATTAAGGACTAAAATAATATAAATTTTTTATTTTGTCTTTTTTTTAAAAAAAAAATTCATTAACAAAACAAAAAGTAGAATTATAACAATTGATATTTTCAAAAAAATATACTATCAAAAGGGTAATTTTGAAAAATTATTATTTTTAAAGTGCAATAATTATACGACTAAAAAAAATTTAATTCCCCAAAAAGACTATTATTTTGAGACAGAGTGAGTATTACAATTAAAACAAATTTCTTTTTATTTTTTTAATAAATATATGCCATCTTCGGGAGTTTTTTTTTTCATAATATTCTAAAAAATTAAATTAAATTATTTACACAAATAACACAATTTTCAAATTATTTAACAAAAATTAACTTACTTTTTAAAATTGTGTCTTTAAAATGTAATTTTATGACAAAATCGTATCTTCAAAATACACTTTTATAGTGACATGGTCTCATGAGGTTGCGACTATATTGAAATTGTAATTTGGAAATACAAGTTTACCTTAAAGTTATATTTTCAAAACATAATTTCAACATTGCCATAAAATTGCGTTTCAAAACACAATTTCAACATTAATGCAAAAATGATGTTTCAACATTCACAATTTCAACATTAATGCAAAAATGATGTTTCAACATTCATTTACATTTTGAGCCGTGATTTCAACATAAGATTGGGTATGTCATTTAAAAAATGAAAAATTGTGTATCACATTTTGAAAATGAGATTTTACTGATTTTCAAGAAATCCTAATTTAAGAAACAGGATTTTACCAAATAACAATTTGGAAAAGCAAAATAATGAAATTAAAATTTCAAAATGTAATTCTATGTTGAAAAATAGTTAATATAGCAAACTTGTATTTGCACACAATCTAAATTCATACAATTTTATTACATAAAAATAAAAAAAAATAAAAAAATTATTTGTATTTTTTTTATTATCAATGATAGTGTTAGTATGTTAAAAATAAATAAAAAAATTTGTTATCTTAACTATTTAATAAAATCGTATAAATGTTAATGAAATCATACTTATGTACCAAATAAAATTTTACTATCTTAAATATTTTGCAACATTGAATTGCATACCAACTCTATATACCAACTCCATTTGGTTTCGTATTGAGAATTTGATTTCTAAGAAAATTTAAATATAAACCTTGAAACTAATTTAACAAAAAAAATGAAAAATGAAAACACTCATTACTTTCACATGATTTTATCTTTTCTAAGAGTGCAAATAATTTTTAAAAATTCAAAAATTATTTTGTAGTGTTTATTTTTGTCAAATTAGTTTTTATTTCTTAATAATAATAATAATAATAATAATAATAATAATAATAATAACATATTTTGAAATTAAACCAATCATTTTTGTTTTGTATTTTGAAATTGTAATTCCAAAAAATCGTGTTTCCCAAATTACCATTTCTTGAAAATTCATTTAAAATCCGATTTAAATGAAATCTCCTTTTTAAAATGCAATACCTATTTTACGTTGAAATCATATCTTTAAAATGAAGTTTCATATTGAAATATCATTTTCAAATTGCACAAGCCATGTTGAAATCACATTTTGAAAATACAATTTCATGTTAAAGTTGAAATTG